CGTTCCTCTTGAACGATGAGTGCATAAGCCCGGTGTATGTCCGGAACAGGTTCGGTGGCAATAATCTGAGATCGGATGTGACCGAACTGTTCGTCGTCGAGCCCGAGCAAAAAATGATGAGTCTTCTCCTGTTCCTCGCGCGCCCGAATCAAAGCCGCAGCCTCACACCGGCAACCACACGTTGGATCAACAGATCCATATAGCTTGTTCCACAAAGTCACAAATTGGTTATAGTAGACAACCACAGTTTGTCCCTTTTGACGCAAAGATTGAAACTCAGATTTCAATTGGTGAATACGAGGTCCATTGGAACCTCCATATCTGGTATTCAGATCTAACCATAATTCATGAGCAATTTTATGGGAGATAATGGAAGGTTGGATGTGTTCATCAACACTGTTACAGATCCAAGAACAAATTATGGAATTATTAGCTTTCCATGCCGCCAATTCTTGTTCATCAGTGGGTTTAGGAAACCCGGAAGGATTGAGAAAACCTGCTCTACTACGCCCTTCTAGAGCATTAATAATTGTTTTCTCCCAAATATCATAATTATCACCTTTGAGAAGATGCTTCGTCAAGGAATTACCCGCACTTTCGGATGGGTGGATGTAGTACGGAGAGGTAGGGTCGTGGATGAGCCTGACCTTCTTGGTTCCTTCGCTTGCCATGGAAACGAAGATAGTACCGGCGTGAGACGGTGATTATGAGTCCGACGTGAGCCGGCGCTGCAGCGGTGGTGATCGACGTGAGCCGATCGAAGAGGGGCGACCGTGGTGTGGCGGCCGGCGAAGCAACGGTGGCGGCACCGTGCGTGAGAAAAAAAACCTAGGGTTTGAGAAGGTCCCGGGAAATCGGCTCCGATACCATGTAGAATTTTGGAAAAACTGAACAACCTTTCATTCAATATTCGCAACGTATATATACATGTGTCAAGTCCTACTCCAAGTATGGAAAGGACTACTAACAAGGAAACTAATTACATTACTAACAAGGGAACTAATTACAAAGGAAACTAATTACATATATGGTAGTAAATAAATATATATGCTAACAGTTAGAATTGAGTCATTGTTTTATATTATGCGTTATTAGATTTGAAAAATACTAGTATGAATATATATAGTACAATTGTAATAAAGTTAGAAAGATAAATTCTACTCCCTTCGTTCCACAAAACTCTTCCGATTTTGATTTTGGGGAAAAATAAGGAAAGTGTAATTTTGATTGACTTTTCAATTTCGCCCCTGATGCAATGCGAAAAAGTAAAATGGGATAGTTTGGTTATTAGTGAAAAATATGATGTGATAGGTAGGGTATGAAAAAGTAGGGGTAAAAGTAGTTTTTTAATAGAAAGTGGAAGTGTTTTGTGGAAAACAAAAAAAACGAAAGAGGAAGAGTTTTGTGGGAGTAATACTTTCGGAGTATTTCAGTCAATATTTTGTTCCAAATTAGGACATTCAAATATATTGATTTCAAAATAATTTTTAGAAGATAAAAAGTCACGAAGAATAAAATATTCACAGAATTCATTAGGAAAATAACTCCAAATTCATCACGAAATTAAAAAAAAATTCCAAGAAATTACAAGATACACTCAACACACAATAAAACTCCATGGGACACAGCAGCAGCGCATACACACAGAAGAAAATTAAATTAAAATTAAATTAAATCAAGAGAGAACAGAGGTCGATCCGAGAAACGACGTCGTACGGCGAGGGATCATCAAAGAACGCCTTAAAACTCTCCACGTGGCAACGGCTCGTGGGTGTGGTGGGAAATGAAGAAGAGCTCGTACACGACGCCGGCGAGCCCGCCGCCGATGATGGGCCCGGCCCAGTACACCCAGTGGGAGCCCCAAGTCCAGCTCACCAGAGCAGGCCCGAATGCCACTGCGGGGTTCATGGATGCTCCGTCGAAGGCGCCGCCGATGAGAATGTTGGCTCCGACCAGGGCGCCGATGACGATCGGCGCCAGCGTCCCGATGTCCCCCTTCTTCGGGTCGATCGCCACCGCGTAGACGGTGTAAACGAGGCCGAACGTCATCACGATCTCCAGCACCAGGGCGCTCCATACCGATATTCCGGCCAGCCCGAATGTCCCCGTCGGCTACACGTCACAAATATTCACGATTTACAATGCAATATTTTGACTATTAATATCTATATTTATATATAAATATAAATTATAAAAATAAAATAATTCAAACTATGTTTCAAAATAAAAATATTGATAACAAAGTTTTACGAAAATTTAATGTATTTTTTCAGTAATATTCAATGAAAGTTTAAAAATAAGTCAAGCTAAGAAATTAATTTTACAACAAAGAGAGAGTATTAAGATCTGTTTGGTTGGAAGGAAAAATATTTTTCTGGGAATTTTTTTATTTTATTTTCCATGTAACTAGAGCTTACCAGGCCGCCGGTGACGAACTTGAGGAGGAAGCAAGCGGCGGTGGAGCCGAGGAGCTGAGCAATGACGTAGAGGATGCCACGGAAGAAAGTGATGTTGCCGCCGATGAAGGCGCCAAAGGTCACGGCGGGGTTGACGTGGCCGCCGGAGACGTTGGCGGCGACGGAGATGGCGACGATAAGGGCGAAGGTGTGGGAGAGGGAGGCGGCGATGAGGCCGGAGGCAGTGGTGGGGCTGTCGTGAGAAATCTTGTTGAACGCCATGCCGGACCCCTGGCCGGCGAACACGAATATGACGGTGGAGATGAACTCCGCCAGGGCAGCCTTGAGGTTGCCGGCGTGGCGGAGCTCTTGGTAGTCCCCGAACGCAATCTGGTGAATCGCCATCGCCGGAAAGTCAGGAATCCGCCGGAAAATGGAATTTCTCGGGAGTTTGGAATAGAAGAAAGAAGGATGGGATATACCTTGGGTGCATGGTGATTGACGTACTTATATGCACCTGTAAATGTTTTTGAATGCACAATTTATTTTTCTAGTGTAGAATTTAAACTTTTTTATTTCTCAAATAGAATTTAATAATGGCCTCGTGGGAGGAATAATGTCCAGTAATGCTAGACATTTACTTGAATAATGACTACTTGTTAATGACTAAAAGTCCTACATTGGAAAATAAAAACATATGGTCCTATATTGGGAAAGTCGTTATGTTTTAGTCTTATTTAGATAAATTTCTCATGTTTTAAACTTTTAATCCATCCCTTCAAAAAATAATTCTCAATTTGACTTTTTTTTGTTCAATTTATTCAAATTTTAATCTTAAATTGTGGGTATTTTATTTAAAAAGTCGAAGTTTTAACAATAGATATTTTTAATTAACTTTGTATAAAAGTATTTGTAGCATATATTTTAGACTGTAGAAGTCATAAATTATAAACAGAAGTAGATTAACAAATACAACAAACAATATTTTAATGAAACCAAAGTTCATAAGTAGTTTTTAAATGCAATACCAAATGCATGCCCTCGGAGTGAGAGATGAAAAGATTTTTTGTTTAAAAAAAGGACGGACTCCTTCTCCGAGGGTCTTTTAGACTCGACTGTACGGTCAATGAGAGAGAGTAAATTAGGTTTTGGTTGCAGATTGGTGGCAAAATGATAGAGTCTGTATCTGATACCTATAGACAATCTCTGTTTAGCACAATCGCCAGAAATCGAACTTAATTTTACCTTTTTGGCAGTTCTTGCCTTAATCAACTGGGCAGTGCCCACATCCACATACACAATTTTTTGAGCCATTTGTGTAACAGGTATAGCCTGTATCACGTGCTTTTTTTCCTTTTTTTGGGTAACGTTATTTATGATTGAATAATGGAAATCTCAATAGAACTATTCTTTTACCCTACCTTTTACATTAAATTTGAACTAAACCGACCGTTCTTAAATTAATGTCATATTATTTCAGTATAATACTCTTATTTTTAAAAAAAAAATACTCCGGAGTATAACACTTATTGTAGAGATAAATACTATGTTTAGTTCTTAATTTATACGAGTATAATTTCTTTAACTTTAATTAAACCTACTTTATATATTTATCACGAATTCCTGATATTTTTTTTCTTCCATACCTTCATATTTGAAGGGGCACGAGTGCCTTCTTATTAAATTAATGACACATGGAAATAAATACTACCTAATCTAAATACTCCATATATAAATCTGATTATTAAATAATGCAAATGAGATAACACCATAATTTTTACTTTTTTTATTTTTTATTTAGTATTTCTTATTTATTTTTTCATGTCTTCTTATTAAAAAATTCAAAAATAAGTTAACAGCAAATAGTTTGATTATTAAAGTCATGTTTTAAATAAATAAAGTTAATTCAAGTCATTTATTTTATATACATTTTTTTCAATTTATTTTCCATGGCCTAACAAAACCAATTAAAAAAGTTATTTATTAATATAAATAGTGACAAAGCTAAATAAATATATAAAAAAAATATAAGAATTTTGGAAGGGGATGGTAAAATCAGCCGATCACGTATAATTTCTTCGCTTTGTTTGTGAAATTAGGAGACACGAGTAATGAGTACGAAATAATGGAGAGAAAATATTTTTTTCCTGAAAACTATTCTCAATCGTTTTTTTAAAAAATATTTTATATATCTGAACTTTCTCAGAAAATATTTTTTTATTACTTTTGTTACCAAAAATTGAAAATTAAAATTAAAATTTTCTCAGGAAATACTTTTTTCAAAGAAACGGACTCTAAGATTATATCCAAATGTCATTACTTTAGAGAAAGGACATATATACCCCTTCAAATGTTAAGACATAGGCCCCGTTTGGCATCAGCGTTAGAGATTATTAGCGTCAGCGTTTTGAAAAGGCTATCCGACGGTAGCTTTTAGCGTTAGCGTTTTCAGAATTCGGCTATGTTTGAGAATAGCGTTAGAGATAAGCGTTAGCGTTTTGGATAAAATTTTAACGGTGCAGATTACTTTAAAAATGCTCACGCTAAACGCTGCCCGTAGATAGCTTTTTCAAAATGCTAACGCTATTCCCAAATAGGCTCTTAATCTACACCATTCAAATTTTATCTAAAACGTTAACGTTAATCGAAAATGTGGTTTCCAAACAAGGCCATAGATGAAAAACCCTTCAAGATATGGTTGAAGATCGTATGATGTCAAAAACATTTATCGGACTCAATACTTTCAGCACAAAATAAACTAAACTCGTCTTATTAAACACAAAAATTGCATTTAAAAATGCAGCAAAATAGTTATTCACATTAATGAGCCAAGTAGATAACCAAAGTGCATCAATAAATGCACTTAATACCCTTAAAACAAAATACTCCGTGAATAAATAAATGCACTTATTACATTAATTAATTGAATGGACTGAATATTTTGTAAAACAGGTGTATATTCTTCGTTTTGAGCTGTCTTTGGTATTTGTGACTTTGTCACGTAAAAAAAAATAGTTTTTCATTTTCTTTAAAACAAAAGTAAAACAAATACGTAGACACGATACAAACATTCGGTACTTATTAATCTCATCTGTGGGTGCACCGTTAACCTAAGATCCACGGAAGAATTTGCATGTTTTTTAATACTTCTTTTATTCAGAAATTATCTTCTCATTTATTATTTACATGGTTGAACTTTATTCATTTTGTTGACCTACTCTCGTTGACCATTTGATAAAATAATATAGTCTTGTCACATCTAGTTTTGTCACTTTTGTGAATCATTTGACGTGGTTTTAAATTATTTAATTTTTATTTTTTAATTTCACACCATTTTTTTTATATATTTTTTGAAAAAGACTTCAGTCAAACATCGCAACGCGCAATGGAAATATAATTTTTTAACAGAGTGCGTATATAAAACTCTATTTGTTTTAACTCTTATGCTAATTTTATACGAAATATTTGCACTAAATAACATTAAAACTTAAGTCATTTCTCTAAATAGCACTTAGATTGTTTTCTTCCCTAAAAGTGCTACATTGGGAAAAAAACACATGTAGTGCTATTTAGGGAAAGTCACTATGTTTTAGTGCTATTTACGTAAATTCCTCTATTTTATACTCCCATCATCCCTAAAAACGTGGGATATTTTGATTTTTAAGAAATTTAAAGAGAATGTATTTTGGTGTTAAGTTTCCAAAGATTTCCTTGGATGCGATGATTAAAAGTATGATTTGATGAGTAGATTAATTGTGAATACATGTGATGTGATAGGTAAGTTAAGAATTAGTAGCGATAAAACTGACTTTTTAATAGAAATACGGAAAGTTTTTGGGACGGATGAAAAAAAAAGAGAAAAATTTTCAGAGACGAAAAAAGTATAAAATAAATGTATTTGCATTCTAAATTTTGATATTGGCATTTTTAATTATACGGAGTACTACTCACTTTCTCACACGAATAACCTATTTTGAAATTAATTAAAGATTATTATTAATAAAAAGTAGAATGCAAATATCATTTCTGATTTTGGCGATGTAATATAATTTTTTCCTCCTTTCTTGAAACTGCATCCATAGTACAACGCAAAGTTTCCCGTGCCATCATACAATTATTAGTGGTCCCTAAATCCTCGAAAGTGTCTCAAAATCAGTCAGACGCTAACGCTAAACGCTGGCCGTAGATAGCCTTTTCAAAACGCTAACGCTAATCGTTAACGCTCTTTCCAAACAGACCATAATTTTAAAAATGTTAACACTAAACACTCTCCGTAGATAGTATTTTCAAAACGCTAACGCTTCTGTCCGTTATTACTCGTAAGACACCCTTTGCCCGGAGTGGATATAATGCCGTTATTCAATTTTGTGTAGGATGGATGAGACCGACCACCACCTCTGGATCTATTTGGCGGACAGCTAAGATTTTACGATCGCACCAATAGTCACGTTACACGTGGCAAATATGTCTTGGAGCCACGTCACGTGGGACCGTGCTTAGGATAGTGGTGTGTCCCACTTGTGGTCGGAGGCAATCATGTGGAGTTAGTGGAGGGGTGTGATTATCTTATTATTATTATTCCGTATAATTATTCACCTAATCCTTTTTTTTACTACTCCAATTGATCGATTAACTTATTTAACTTCACCAATTGTTTAATCGAGGAATTTACTTAAATAGCACTTAAATATAATGACTTCCTCTAAATAGCACCACATGTATTTTTTTTCCCAATGTAGCATTTTTAGTCATTATGCATTAGTCATTATTCAAGTAAATATTTGTTATCATTGGTCATTATGGACATTATTAAGTATTATTTAGAGAATAAAATAATTTAAGTGCTATTTAGGGAAATGACTTAAGTTTTAGTGCTATTTAGTGCAAATATTTCTTGTTTAATCTGGTCCTAGTGTAGTGTGGGTGGCATTTTCACNCTTTGTTTCATGATCACATTCCTTTGTTTGTAAGGGGAATATCGGTCTAAAACTAGATCGGACCGGAACTGTAAACATCAAGAAACCCCCCCCCCCCTTACGAGAACAGGAAGAGCATGAGCCCTTCCCCGTTTTTCCAGTCTGATTTTTTCGCAGTTCTTTTTTTTTAAATTTGTCTCTTTTGCTTCTTCCTTCTTTTTTTTTTTGTGTTGAATCTTCTTTTAACGTTTATTTGTTGCTTTTCCTTTTTTAATTTTTAGTTTCTAATTGTTTTTCATTTTTCAATTTTGATTTTTTTGATTTTTTTTAGTTTTTATTTTGAGTTTTTGTTTGTATTATTTTATTATATTTTATATATTTAGTTTAATTATTTTAATTAATTTCAGTATTAAAAAATAATATTAAAAATTGAAAAAGTAAATTTTTATTGTTTTATGTTTGTAGTTTAATTACTTAAATTAAAATAAATAGTAAAAAATAATAGTAAAAATTGAAGGGAAAAAGGAAAGGTATTCCTCTGAAAGGGAAGAGAGAGAAAAAAAAGTAAAAACTAACGTGAC